TTGGGGATCTGGGGAAGGTTGGGGAGGGTCCCAGGAGGGTCAGGGGTCCTGGGTGGGGTTGGGATCCCCAAAGTTTAGGGTTCCAGTGGGAGTTGGGGGTCCCGGGGGTCCTGAAGGGGATCTGGGGGTCCCGGGGGGTCTGGGGGTCCCCAAGGTTTGGGGTTCCAATGGGAGCTGGGGGTCCCAGGGATTTTCGGGGATTTATTGGATTGGGAATCTCAGGGGCAGTTCAGGGGTCCCGGGGGCGGGTCCAGGGTCCCGGGGACGGGTCGGGGGTCTCTCAGAGGTGTGACCCCCCCCCGGGGGGGCAGTTCAGGGGTCCCGGGGGTGGCTCGGGGGTCTCTCAGAGGTGTGACCCCCCCCGTGCCCCCCTCCCCAGCTCCACCACCGAGCGGCTGAGCAGCTCCAGGGCTCGGGGGTCCCGGGGATTTTCGGGGATTTGTTGGATTGGGAATCTCGGGGGCGGGTCGGGGGTCTCGGGGGCAGTTCAGGGGTCTCGGGGGCGGCTCGGGGGTCTCTCAGAGGTGTGACCCCCCCAGCGGCCCCTCCCCAGGTACATCCCCGAGGGGCTGCAGTGCTCCTGCGGCCCGGACTGGTACACGACGGACAACAAATGGAACAACGAGTCCTACGTGATTTTCCTCTTCTGCTTCTGCTTCGGCTTCCCCCTGAGCGTCATCATCTTCTCCTACGGGCGGCTGCTGCTCACCCTGCGCGCGGTCAGCGCCTCTTGGGGGTCCCGGGGGGTCCTTGCCCCACACCCGCCCCCTGACGCCCCGTGCCCCGTCCCGTGCCAGGTGGCCAAGCAGCAGGAGCAGTCGGCCAGCACGCAGAAGGCGGAGCGCGAGGTGACCAAGATGGTGGTGGTGATGGTGCTGGGCTTCCTGGTGTGCTGGCTGCCCTACTGCGCCTTCGCGCTCTGGGTGGTGACGCACCGCGGACACCCCTTCGACGTGGGGCTGGCCTCCATCCCCTCCGTCTTCTCCAAGGCCTCCACCGTCTACAACCCCATCATCTACGTCTTCATG